CATTCCGGATAAATTGCCTGCCAGGCAGGAAATTTTTAGGTGTTGTTTCAGGCTCTTGCACGTGTCCCACCTCAGAGGAAAGGCTGGTTTAGAGCCTGATGGGATGCTGAGCTGCCAGAACCATGGGATCCAAAATGTAAAGCTCCTCTCTCTTTGCTGACAGTGATTGGTAGTTGGTCACTAACGACAATTCTGAAATACCTCTTTACAGAAAACAAACCCAAGAAGGAGTTGATTCAAGTTCTTATCCAGAGAGGGTATGAATCTGACCCAGTGAAGGCTTGGAAGGAGTTGCAAAACAAGGTAATGCTTCAGTCATCCTCCCCAAATAGGATCCAACATCCACACTGGCCCCGCTCTCTGAAGCTTCACGGTTGGTAGGGAGAAGCCCAGGTTTGGGCTTTTCAGAGTGCAGGACGGAAGAACTTTTGTGTCTGCAAAAGGAAACGTAAACCAAGCAAAAATTCAGCCTCAGAAGGCGCTGAGATTTGGGGTTGAGTCTGTCAGGTCAAGTAGTCCTGACACAGCAATTACTGCTGTTCCGGCCGGGAGGGTTTTCTCCCGCCGGTGGGACACGGCTGTGGAAGGGATGCAAGGAAAAGGGCAGCTTGAAGTAGCCCAGGGAGACATTTGGGACTGTCGAGCCAGAGAGGCCAAAGAGAGTAAAGCAAAAGAGATCTGGAAAATTGGTTTGTGCAGCCAAATTCCGCGGCACGAGCCTTGAAGAAGCGTAACTATCTATTTCTGAATTGTTCTGGAAGAGTCTGGAGCACCAGGCCAAATTTGATCAGCAGCCCTACCCTTGTATGTCGGTATATCTCTGTGTTTTACATCCTCCTTCAGGAGGAAGAGGAGGAAGGGGAGGAGGAGAATGAGAGGGAAGCAACTCCAGCTACAGGACCAGACTTTTGCTGAACATGCCCCTGTGGTACCTGACTAAGGAGAAGAAAGACGAGCTCTGCAAGCAGCGGGATACCAAGGTGGGCTCCTCCCTCTTCTTCTAACAGCATTTTTATGGAGCATCTTTTCTAATGGTGGATTAAAACACCTGACTGATGATTCTCAACTGTGATTCCCTTTAGGAAAAGGAGCTGGAAGACCTTAAGTGCAAGAGCCCCTCTGATCTGTGGAAGGAAGACCTTGCTGTCTTTGTTGAAGAACTTGATGTACGTCTGTGTTTGGTGCAGTTGACTGACTCCCTCGTAGACTTATCCACCAGCGCTGCATTCGCTTTGTTGTCATTTTTAGTTTCCTTGTTATGACAACTCCTACATCCTGCACTCATTGAGGGGAAGGAAAAAGCTTTCTTCACCTTTCCAGCTTGGATAGGAGTAGGGCCGCTCTGGGCCGGGGGGTCAAACCACTGAGGAGGCCGTTGGAAGGGGGTCAGTTGCCAGGCTGGGTAGTGAAAAGGAGTTTTAGGAAGGCTTGAGAGAAAACTAGTGCTGGGATGTAGTTTGAGGAGATGTTGATCCAAAGGGCTTTCTGGACGCTGAAAAAAGTGAGGGAGGAGCTGGGCTGAACGGAGCCCAGAGTGCGGGGTGTCTGCGCACCGTCGCAGCTGGTCACGGCCCGTGCCTCCTCTGCTCCTCGCGTCACCAAACCATGGCTCTGGCTTAAATCTCGCCCCTTGAATGTGGGCTTTACTGCACGGGCTGCGACAGGGGGTTCTTCGGGGGTACGTGGTGTTCTCACGGTTGTGCTGTCTCCTGCTCACCCCTGCAGGCAGTGGAAGCCAAGCAACTTCAGGATGAGATGGCAGGGCTTGCTGGTAAACCGCTGAAGGTGAAGGGAGGGAAGACGAAGGTGAAGAAGGGCCAGCTGCCAGAAACCATGCCGTCGCCTCATGGCGTAAGGGTTGTTCCTCGGATAACTGCAGAGATGAAGGCGGAGGCGGAGAAGAAAACTAAGAAGAAAATAAAGGTAAGAATGCACATTCCGAATGCTTAATCCTTCTTTACATCCTCTTCAGTACAGTCCTAAAGAAGGGCAAGTTCTTGTTAGCCAACTTGTCCTGAGGAGCAGCTCTTGGGGGAGAGGGGCAGAATCTGAGGGCCTGGGGAACCCTGAAATGGGTGTTTCTCAGCCTAAATTCACCAGCGTATCAGGCTTAGAGGGAAGTATTTCAGCCAGAGCATCTATCACGGTGTCGGAGATGGGTTGGTAGCTTAGAAATGGAAAGGCAGATGCAGGTAAGGTGGTTGTAGGTGCCATGGGGATTTTGGAAATCCTCTGGCAGGCAGTACAGCTAGTAACGTCCCTTCTCTACAACAGCCTTTGCAATCCCAGGAGGGAATGCTTTTGGCCACTCAATGCCGCTATTGTTCTCGATATCGTAGGATCGTGTATGTCAACACCAAGGAGATAAACCAGGTTGAACTCTATTTCTAGGGCTAGTTGAAACTGTGCCACTGAGCCCTTGGCAACACAGAAAATGCCCCCTCGCCTGACCCGTCGGCCGGCCACGCCGCTCCTTTCCTACGGATGGTTCCATCCAACAATCATTTGGAAAAACTAGCCCTGTTGTTGTAACCCGCCCTGTTCAATCCTGTGCCCTCCACACGCCCGGCAGCCGCGCCGTCGGAGCACAGAGGCGGGACCGGAGTGCGGAGAAAGTTCCTGTTTTTGTTAATGTTGGGGTTTGCGTTAAGTCACCTGATCTGGTGACAGTCCAGGTCCGAGTTCCTCGGCTGTAATTCACACGCGGGTTTCTCGTATCGTTATCTTTCACGCATCTAAAATCAGCATCTCCTCTGCGTTACCGTGTGCCTCTGCCGACAGCGTGAGCTGACGCGCTGTTTGCTGTCTGCTTGTACCTGCAGAGTGAAAAAAATGAATGTGATGAGAACCAAGAAAACACGTCAGGAGACCAAGAGTCTTCGGGCATTAAGCAGAGATTAGCGCAGAAGCTTAACGCCGAGCGAGGTAAATGCTTCCGTGTGTTGCTCTGTCGATGGAAAGTGAGGGGAAGGGTTGTAAATTTGGTCATCTGACCTCTTCCTGAAGGTGATGAGTAACGCCTAGGAGCCAGTGTTTTTGGAAAAACTAGGTGAGGGAGAAAGTGACCCTGACTAACAGTCAAGTGGGATAGATTGCTACTGCTCTTCCATGTTTAAGCCAGAATCCCCTGAATTTAGTGCTGTGTTTCTCAGCCGAGCGTCAGCTGCTGAGCCTGGGGGTTGCTGATTCATCCTGCCTCCCAATATTTTTTCAGGTACCAAGAGACAGGCCACTCTACCGTTTAAGCCACTAAAGAAAATGAAGAAACGAAACCCGTGGTCTGACTCAGGGTCTGATTCAGACTCTGATTTTGAACTGCCTCCCCAGAGAGAGAGAGTGGTTCGCCAAGCGGCAGGTGAGTGGTGACACACAGGGAGAGGGGCAGGCTGCGGAGGAGAAAACCGGACAGGATCTGCTTGTTTTCATTCAGATCTTCATTTTGTAATTACTCCAGCTAAAATACTGACACAAAACCCCGAGCTGCATGTTGCCAAATGTGTCAAATAACACATCCCTGTCATTTCATCAGCCAAAGTCAAGACCGTGATCAGTTCGGACTCGGATGAAAATCTCTCCGCCTCGGATGAGGACCCTGAATTCCAAGGTGACAGTGAAGGCAGCACCAAGTCTGATACACACTCAAAAGAAAAACCCGCTCCCAAGCCCAGAGCTGCTCCAAAGTGAGTGTTTCTCCCTATAATCACTGGAAATGGGTTGTGCTTCCAGTCTTAGTGCTCTACAGAAATGAGTCGCTCTTTGCGGGGCCTGCTGAGCGCATCACACGGTGCTAAAATACTTGGGGGTTTGTGTTCTAGGGAAACCACTGAAAAAGCAGCTAAAGCTCCCAAGCAAAAGCCAGCGCAAAGCACTATCCCAGGTGAGTATGAGACCTCCTAAACCTCCTTGACTTTCCTAAAACCCCAGGGCTTAACGCTGACCAACGCCTGGTCACGAGGCCGCGGGAAGGAGCCTCCATGCTGGGTACAAGCTGGGTTCAGGCTTTTTGTCTGTTTATAACCTGACTTTGTGGCTACTTTGCTCTACTGTTGACAGCCAGACTCGATCATTTGACTGACTTTTTGCCTTCTTTTCTTCAGTTCAAGTCCTTGACGTTGCTAGTGACGACGAGAGCCAAGCTCCTGCAGTTCCTCCGCCCCCCGTGCCTCGCAGTAAGGCTGTACCTAAGAAACCCGCCGCAGCTCCGAAGGCCAGCGCCGCCAAGGGTAAGGCGAGCTCAATAAGGTGTCTGTGGACAATTATTATTCCTGTGGGAAACGTCTGATTTTGCCAGACACCAAGGCCTGGATCACTTGGGGTTCCATTTGGGAAAAGACCTGAGGTTTGTGGCAAAGGTTTGCCTGGTGCTTGTCATTTTTTTTTAAGGAGCTCGTTTCCAAACATCCCATGTTCTGGTTCATCTCGGGCACGCTTGAAAGGGAGCGAATTTGAGTTGGGGAATGGGACAAGTGAAGGCGTCCTACAGCGCGATGTAGTACTTGGCAGAAAGAATCTGGGTGGAATTCGCGTCTTCTTTCTCCTTGCCGTCTTTTGGGGAGGAGCGTCGCCGGAGCGCTTGCTTCCCAGGGAGGAGAAAAGCCGCTGTGGGGGAGCTTGATCTCTCTATTGCTACCCCAACCCCATAAATCAGCAGCATTTGACTCAGGGGGTGTTTTAAACTTAACTGCCCGGGGTCTTTGTGACGGTCTGGGAGCCGTTGGGCATATCCCGTCACCGGCGGGGGGGGGGGCGGGGGCGGGAGCGAGACAGGCGCGGTTTCTCCCGCTCCCAGATGGAGAAAGCCTGTTACCACGCCTGCTGTTTGAAAACATGAAGATCCAGGTAAGAAAGAACCACCCAAGTAAGAGTTTGGTGAGGGTGGTGGATTCGTTCCTTCCCCGTGCCGGAGTTTGGAGGGTGCGGGACCGGTGGTGCAGGACTTAGTCTGAGGTGCTCTGCGAGTCATGTCGGGTAGCTTTCAGTCAGATCCCCCGAACGTAGGGGAGCTAAGCTGATACACCACCCCGGTTCTCATCACCTCGGCAAAGAGCAATCTTTCTCCGACACCGGCCGACCCACGCGCTGAGCTGGCAGCGGAGCGCAGCGCCGGTGGCGGATGCCCGAGCT